GAAATCGGACCACTATAGCATATAGTTGCCAAAAAAACTGTACAATCGGAATCAAGTGCTTGTATGGAAAACTTTTTCATTTCACGAGATGTCTTCACGAAATTTGGAACGGACCATTATCTAAGACAATAATGGAATCTCCGAAGAAATTGTTTTAAAATAAATTTTAACTATAAAAAATAATTGCTTCCTCCTTAGAACTGTGGTAACATTTGTTTTTTGCAAATAGTTATGAATAAAATTTTGATTCTATTTTGTCAGTAAGTGTACTTATATATGTATGTCAAATATGTATATTATCTCACTATACAGACTCAGTGTTGTTCAGAAATGTCAAAGAGGATAAAATTATTAAACAACAAAGTAATCTTGCAAGATCTGACTGCTGGCTCAATATGCAAATTTTAACAATAAATGCATTAAATTTGTGATATGCAAATATGGGTGTATGTGTGTGTGTGTAAATACACAAATGCTGAAGATTACTGAATTCCAACTGTCGGACTGAATGTTTAAAGCATATAATAAATACTCATAAATTTATTATCTTTTCCTTTGCATTTACACTTCCATACAAATTTATGTGTTTATGTATGTGTGTTTGTATGTATATTTGTAAGAGCCGCAGCTTGTAACCACACATGGCACCCCACAATAAATATATATATACAAAAGAATATTATGACCAGAAATGAAGAGCCGTAGTCGAGTTGTTGGCACAGACACGCATACATACATACAGAGAACGTGTTGTGCGACGAAGAGCGGGTCAGCTACACAAAGCCACCTTGTCATGTGCTGCTTTGTATGACCGGCGTTCTGGAGTCATGTGCATGACACCTTTCGCCATGTGCCACACACACATTCGTAGTTAAGTATGTATATGTGTGTGGACAGACGGTGTCATGTGCAAATCTACGACTGTCGCCTGTTCAACACTTAACTATTCTAATTACGAAATTCCGACGCTTTGCGTGCGCAGAACTGGTGTCGTTGTTGTACTAGTTAGTTGTTTTTGTTATTGTACACTGAAAGCAAACAGCCGGCATAGAAAGTGCCAACGACACCAACAGGACAAAGCACATGGTTACCTAGCGGCCACACACAAACACACATGCATGTAGGAACAAACACACACAAAAACATGAAAACTGCGGAGAGACTTATGCAAACTTTTAACTCAACAAAATGTGTTTGTAATAATAATAATAATATTATTTTTTGCACTTTCATTTTTATCCACCAAAGCAAGCAGATCTGCTGGCAGTCGTCTAACTACCGGCCTGTCCAACTCGCAGTCGTTTGGTCACTGGGTACAAAACCAGCATTTTGCGCAAAAATGCAAATGCTGGAAAGCGCAAAGCAATACTGGAGACCTGGAGCCAGTAGTGTGCGAGAATGAATCGGAGTTGGGCGGATGGTTGCAACTCTCTTTGCTGTGTCTTTTTTGTACCACTTCTTTTGCTACGTGGATGTGTGTGTATGTGTGTGTATGCAAGCAATTAAACTTTGACCGCAATTTTAATAGTAGAAAATGGGGAAAAACTTTGAGGCCATGTATTCATAATTTCTTCCACTCAAATTAGTACTTTTGTTTCATTTGTTGGCTTAAATAGATTTCCACAAAATTTATGTGTTCTGATGCTGGCGCTGGAAGCCTGCAAGACTGTGTAGCTCTGGTTGCCAACAGACCACTGTACGTATGGAAGTATAACTTTTGAAAAGTAACGGTACAAGTACAAGTTTTAGTAAAGTATTTCTGCGGCAAATGCCGATACGAGGGTGATCTGCTAAGCTAACGCATTTCGGTTGCGGATTTGCCTTCAAATGATGCCAACAAGTGCATTAAGTCGGTACAAAATACTAAACGAATCTAAAGCTAAAGCCTTTTTAATTCTTAAGTATTTTGCTTTCCTTAGAACAATTTTTATACCCTGAACAGGGTATATTAAGGTTGCCACGATATTTGGTACACCCAGAAGGTAACCATGATTTAGCCATGTCCGTGTAAATATACGCGACCTAGTCTCTCAGTTTTTGAGATATTGATCTGAAATTTCGCACACGTCCTTTTCTCACCAAGAAGTTGCTCATTTGCCGGAACCTCCGATATCGAACAACTATAGCGGAATTATGTGCTTTTATGGACAACTTTTTTATTCGATCATTGCTAATATAACTTTTTAAACACCCTGTAACGGGAATTATAGCTTCGGTCAAGCCGAAGTTAAAATATTTCTTGTTTAATCATTTGTAAGACCGGATCCAGCCGATATTTAATATATTACCCTTTTCGATTTTTAAACAATTGTGTATGCCAATTTGTCGTACAAAGTACGCAAAGATCCTTTAATCTTTGGCAAAACATTTCAAACAAATACTTAAAAAGGAGTCCTCATACAGCCGAGCTATTATTTCGGCGAACTTATTACGTATAGGTTCGGGTCTAGGTAACCGCTACAACAACATGTTCACAATTCAAAACATTAAGTGGGGGACCGAAGTAAATAAATTGCACGTAAAAAGTCTACCATATCAACATCATCACCATTTGGCTCTACAGCTCTTTCTACAGCTAGCTAGTCAAGTTCGTCATTCCATCTTATCCTCCATTCATCAAATACGGTTATTTCTAACTGTGCCGAAATTTTTTGGGAAAATTTTTCTTTCGAAAATCAGCATTTTTTTTTTTGGTTTTTTTTTTTGCGCTTATTGTCCACATTTCAGCTCCATAGCACAAGACTGGCCAAACCAGGATCCTTACAGTGCCAGTTTACATGATCTGCTGAGTACTTTCGATCTGAAAAGCTTTATAAGTAGTGCGGGTGACCTGTTTGCTGCTTGCATTCTTTCATCAAGAGCAACGCTCAAAACGTTGTCTGCTAAATTAAAGCTGTGCGGAGGCGTATTCATATCTAGAGCTCTCCTTTTGGCTAGTGCTCTCCGTTTGTCGTATAAAATCGAGACCCATAACACAAATACGAGTAGCAGCGTCTATAAATATATACAGCGTAATTTAGAGGTGGTCTCTGTATGGCTACTCCCTTGAATTATTGGTGTTAGCTATTGCCTTGCATGAGTTTGTAAATAGATTTGTGTTATTAATGAACGGACTTATACGAATTTACCCGATTTTGTATTATACTTCTTGTTACTTGTTATCAATTAGCACTTAAAATGGCTACCACCATCAAATGGCGATCACCTTAAACAACTAAGCAGAGCAGATTTTCCATTTAAGGACCAACCTCCCAGACACCTGTGGGAAAGTTCGCTTTGAGATTTGGGTGGTATTTATCATTATAAGTTTAGGAATTCTTCCCTGCGCTGAACTATACATATATCCGGCTTAGTAATATTAAGTAAATATTATTATAATATTAATCAAATATTATAGATACTTCAATGGCTCATAAAATATCTCATTTCAAGTCACTGACTTCCTTATCAAACCGCCCTTTTCACTATGTATGTGTATCTCTAACGGTCAAATGAACTACGAAACTCAACATAGAAATTTCTGTACTTCAAAATTACTTTGCAACGCTACAGTTATTAAAATGTTCAAAATTATCGCTCACAGTTTCGCAATTTGTTCAACTGTGAAGCTTTAATTAAGCGTTGAACATGTCATTATAAAATAAGGAAATCATTACAACTTTCAATAACAACCATAATAGCACTATGGCTAAGTTTAAAGTAAGCAAAAAAGTTAAATCAAATAAAAATGCTATGAAATAATTAATAAAAAAACAGCAATTACAGGGACTGAATTTTTTTTATCGAAAATATTGGTTAATTTTGTATTATTAAATTTTGTTCTAACACAAAGCGTTAACTAGAGTTCTAAACCGAAACCCCATGAACTGGTAAGGAAATTTTGAAAGTACCAAATAAAAATAGGAATATAATAACCTAATAATATAATAGTATTCGACAAGAACTCAATGAGATCAAATTATATCAAAGCTTCTTTAATCATACATAAGGCACTTCTCGCAAGTTTTTATTGTCTTCGAGTATTGACTACAGTAAGTACAAAACAAAAATACAATTCGGTTCACACGTTGGCTAAATACTCCTAGGTTAAGTGGCTTTTATTATTAAAATCGGACAGCAAAGTAAATATTCGCAAAAAAAATTTCCCTTCGGTGATATGACCGAAAATCGGATTTATGGTTTAAATTTCTAAATAAAATAGAGTTAAATACAATACATACAACAAAAAAAACGTTAACTTCGGGAGCACATATAGTACCCTTCCCAAATACAAAAGATTTCATACAAGAACCTGACTTTGAACGGTCAGTTTTTATGGCAGCTGTATGCTATTGTGGGCCGATCTGAACAATTTCTTCGAAGATTGTACCGCTGCATTGGGCATTCATCCATGCCGAATTTCAATTAAAAAAGTTTTCTATGAATTTTTTTAAGGGGCATTTTACATTTTAGAATTTGGTGTTTGAAGTCGGTCAGCCCACTGAACCGGTTGTGAGAAATTTTTCTCTCCGCCTCTAAAAACAGCGTTTTAAGAAAACCCCTTTTAAAGTTTTGTGAACTGATTACACTAAGTTAAAAAATAATTTGCCAGACCAACTTAAATTTTTCGGAGAATATTTTCAAATATGTAAGTATGTCATTCGATATACAAAGCAAAACAAAAATCAATTTTTTTGAAATTCAGAAGTGGATATAATCGCCTATACCAACTCAGCTCACTTCACTTAAATTGTTCTCAAGTCGATTACATTCTGGTCTTGTTAGAATACAATTACATTTTCTGAACGGTAAATTACCAATTTGCTGAGGTATTACATAGAATTCCTCACACTATTTTAGGCTTAAAATAACTGTAAATGTCAAACTAGCATGCGATTTTGAGTAAAATAAATTGATTACGTGACAGAACTGTTTAATGTTCACAGCATATTTAGTTTTTAAACAAAACTTTGCAGCTCAAACAACAAAGGAAGAAAACAATAACAAATTCGGCTACTCACTTTTTGGTTAGTCCGGAGCTTATTTGTGCTTTATCAGCTACCACTAGCAACTTGGTACTGCTATGTTAGAAAACACTTTATTTTGTTCGTTATATTTGTTATTGTTATAGTTGTTTTTGTTATATATATAGTTTGTGTCAGTTGTTGACAAACAATTCCCAGCCGAAAAACTTAATTAATTGAAATGCCAAATAGACTGGAACCAGTGTCAGCAGCACGTACATATAATAGGTCCAACTTTCAGTAATATTTTCCATCATGACTGTAAACAAACGAAGGGAAAAACATGTTAAATAATGTCTACATACATATACACAAACAAAGATATTGAGAGGAGAATGCGAATGTGGGTTTTAAGCCGTTGCAGTGGAGTTACGCAACGCAGGTGCGCACACGCACACATAATTGGAAACACATACACATATATATATATATGTATATATGTATATATGGTATATGAACTCATGCCTGTACTGCGGCTTATAATCAGCGCGAGTTCGTATAAAGTATTATGCAATTTGGTGTGGGCTGAAAAGAACTACAAAGTACTGTTGGCGAGAAGGATAAAAATTGTGCTAAAGTACTTTTAATTAAATGTAAATGGTAGCTGTGTGCAAGTATGTGTGTGTGTATGTGTTTATTTTCACGTGGAAGTATGTGGGTAAATCGCCGCCTGCAAAGCTCAAAGGCTAAAGCGCACGGCCGGGAAACGAGCAGGGAAAGAGGGACTTGACTGCTTGCGCGTAATAAAAGTACTGCACGAGCAGATAGGATTAAAACATAAATAAAATGTGGAAAAGGGAAAACAGCGATTGTGCCGAATACACACACACATCCAAGCACAGGTTTTAGCTTATATATTTATGTATGGATGTCCGTGTATGCTTATGACGTTATACACAAATACATTTAATGACGCGCGTTCGCAGTGAAAAAAGAGGTAAGCGACAGGTGCAACGTTTGTGTTTTATTATTGTAATACCCAGGCAACATGCTATGAAGAGTATAGCAGTTTTGTGAAGTTAACAGCAGTTAGTACAATATAGCATATAGGATAGAGATAACGACTTATGAACAAGTGAAGAGTTGACTTGATCCGGTCTTGCCTATCCATCTATCCGTTCATAGACATTACACCTCAACTTCAAATTAAGATATGCTAGAGTAACCCTCTAGCCAGCAATGTTGTCTGTACATTCCAGAATAAAGATCCAAATCTTTTTTATGAAGTGTCATCCCCACTCTAATCGGTCTACGCTATCGGAGCGAACCCGAATTAATTTTTATCCAGCCAAAAACTACCAACTATTTAAGAGTATTTACAACAACTACTATAATCCTATAAATCGGTAAAAAATTAAATTAAACGCTCCGAACCGTAAATTTGTTGGAGGAATTCTGTGAATCACAAACTACTTGTGTAATCTCCCCAAAAGTCAGTGCATAGAATTACTACTTATAACAGTAAAGAAATAATAAAATCTGAAACAAGCTACTTTCCATAGAATGACATTTTGATTCTCTTCACCAATGTCCCGAAAGTGTAAAATCGGTTTATATCACACCTTAGAACCTATTTATTGCTCAAAGTTAGCTCCTTTCCTTCAGTCAACTGTATACCGTATGCATCGGCCCATAGTTGAGTTTTCTGTTTAGCAAATATGTTACGATTGCTCTTAGGGGTTATATCCACTTGTATATTTAAAGAATCTAATTTTTGTTCATATATCGAATGTAAATAAACTGAGAATTTTCTCCAAAATTTTAAGACGGTCCGGCAAATAGTTTCGCAGATATCGGAATGTAATCGGCTCCCAAAACCTTAAACGCGGTTTTCTTTGGTAAAAAAAATTTCTCCGAACGCTGAACCGATCGACTTAAAAGTTTCACACAACCTTCTTAGATATATTAATCAGATAATGATCGAAGGAATAGTATTTTTGATAGTAATTTCGATATTTTAGGCCACATTGAAGTGTGACTAACTTTTTCACAGAGAAACGATTTTTTTGAGAAACCGTCATTTTGTCAAAAATCAAAATTTTGATTAGTCCTACTCGCCGATTATTAAAGTACATAAAATTCTATAAATGTACTTTACTTTTATTTATTTGTTAAATAAAACGGCTCTTTAAAAAAATCACAAACTCTTAAAGTGTTTTACTATCAAAAAAGAATTTATCGATCTTATATGCTGGTTGACTTCATATGGTAAATCGGTCGATATGTCAGACATCTTATTCTTATTATGTTTGCAAATGCTATCAGTGCAATTTCTTAGAATTTGATTCGCCTGAAGCTCATGAAACGACATGTGTCCGATTAACATTAAAAATGTAAGTCTGATTAGAATTGATGAAACTTATTGACCTATATGCTAGTTCTAATCTTAATAGAATCCGGTAACTAAAAATTTGTTCCAATTCACGCACTGTGTGCTTTTTGCACAATCCTACTCATTTGGGACCAAGACAATTGATATTGGCGTGGGCAACTAAAAAGTCACGAACTATTTTCCGGAAACGCGCACCATTGACGGCAACCTCTATTTTCAATTTAAAAAAAACTATGAACCAATAATGCCATCAGTATGAAAACCATTGCAGACCGGAATTTTTTCTCAGTTCAAGAGAGACAGGACAGCCTCTCGATTTACTTAGTTTTTTTCTCTTAAAGACTGAACTTTAGAAACAAATGTCCATAAATTTTAAATATTGTTCCGGTGTAAGTCGTTGCATAATAATTTGTGAAAATGTTTGCTTTGACAGTTATCACTCTGAGAAATTCTATACCTCAAAGACTTATATTTCACTCTTTGTCTCATACCGAGAGTATTCTACGTCTGGTTCCACACGAACTTCGCATTACTGGATTTTCCGTTTTTTTACGGTAATTTTCCACAATTTTCCACGGCATTAGTGAAGCGCTGCTACCGCTCACTACTGCTCACAACTTTGTGTATACATTGTAAAGCTAGCAAATTATAATAGGTGAAGCCAGCAGTTAAAGTAACCACAACAACAACAGCAACACAAAGCGGAACATCAACAGCAGGAGCAGCAGCGACAGACATAAAATGTGCAATAAACTTGGCAAAAAAAAACTGGCGTATTTATGTATTTACTTAGCAAACAAACACAGCTGATAATCTCTTTTTACATCCGACCAACCCAAATGAGAATGGCCAACCATCAAACGCCCACGAAAGCGAAGCAGCGCGTCGGTGAAACTGACAGCGGGTCACAATTTTATCTGCATACACGATTGTGACCGTATGCAATAGTGTTAAGAAAAATGGAAGCGCATAAGTTGATTTGATCTGTGACAAGCAGCACATACGGAGATTTGTTGATCAACTTGTAAACGTATTTACAATGGGCCTAATGTTATTCAGCAAAACGGGTAGTTTTCAAGTCTCTTTAGAACAACAGATGATTTTTATAAAATTTTTTTTAATATAAGAAATATACTCGAATATTTCAGAAAGCTATTAGAATCAACTTTTTTCCATAAAAGTATAGATTTTGACGCGGCCGAACAAGTAACACACTTAATTCTGCGACTAGGATACTCTATCATGTAACTTCAAAAATTATATATTATATAATATTAGGCTCACTTAATGTATATTCAATATATGTGTTTCTATATTCTTAGCTCACTAAGTCAAAAAATATCTACCTAAACCCACAGAAGATCTTTTATGAACAATCCGGGTCATTACTAGCATTATACGAGTAGGAAATGTGTTTGCCTATATAAATCTACAGCGAATTTTAGCTCGGAAGTAACATCCTGATAACAGGAGTTTTCAATATCTGATCCTATCTGATCAAATTTACCTCAGCTTCAGCGTGCAAGTACTCAGCTTATTCTGTGGCACATCAGATACTAAAATGGCCAAAAATCAATTTTAATTTGAATAAAGAAACAAGAAATTAGAGAAGTTTAAGGCATCATAATTCGAAGAGGCCTGTGGATTCCTTCAAAGTATTTGGTACTTTATCGCAGCGAATAATCAAAATGAGAATGTTGACCACTGAATATATCATAAAAGATAGTACTATATAATGTTATTAGTGGACATTGAGGGCGAAAAAGTTTCTTATAAAAGCCATAGAGAGGCATCTTTAGGGGGAATTCTAGTGTAGAAATTTTAAAAATAATTTTTTTCTTATATATTTAGAGCCTTTACAAAATCTTTTTATCTTAATATATCCCTAAGGGAATTTGTCAAAATTTTAATTATTTCCAGAGATATAGCTATTTTAGTGACCGAAATCCAAATGTACTTTTACCCGAAACTGTAAACAGGGTTTTCAATATATACCTTTTTCAAAAATTTAGACATGATATTTCAAGTGCAACTGAAACGATTTACTTGAAATTTAATATAAATATTCTCTATATATTTCTCTACTAAATTTTACTGTACTTACTATGATTTATAGGAAATAAGAATGTTTTACTATTAAAAAAGAATTTAAAAAATTAAAAAAAAAACAGTGTAAAATTTAATTTAAAAAAAAAATTAAAACAAAAATTTAATTAAAAAAAATGTAAATAAAAAAAAGCTAAATTCAAAAAAAAAATTATTAAAAAAAATTAAATTTAAAAAAATGTAATTGGAAAAAAAGTTAATTTAATTAAACTAAAATTTTTATTCTAGACATCCGCAATTTTATAAAGTTTGTAACACATTGAAAGAAACGTGGGAGACCCTATAAAATATATGTAAACACATACATACATAAGTACATGACATATATACGCGAACTAGTCCCTCAGTTTTCAAGATATCGTACTGAAATTTTGCTCACGTCCTTTTCTCTCCAAGAAGCTGCTCATTTGTCTGAACCACCCATATCGGACCACTATAGCATATAGCTGCCATACAAACTGCCCTCTCAAAATCAAGTTCTTGTAAGAAATATTTTGTATTTATGTTCGGCTCAACCAAAGTTAACGTTTTTTTTGTCTTTTTTTTTTGTTAATATGAGAGCAACATTTATTTTGATAAATAATTATGTTTTTATTTCTTGATCATTAGGAGAGTTGCAATCGTGATATAATTGCCATTTTTTCGAACCCCTAATTTAACAGCTTATAACATTTTGAGTTTTAAATTTAATCACTTTATTGTTATTAGCATAGTTAAAAGATGAATAAATATCTTTTTATAGGATTGATAGTAAAAATATTTTTTGTATTTTATTTACAGCACTCGACACATCACAATATCAAATTCATGCCTCCACACCA